TTAGTATATGTTCCATTATTATAAGTACTTAATAAGGGAGTTTATAAAATTAGTATATGTTCCATTATTATAAGTACTTAATAAGGGAGTTTATATCCAATCCAATCCAATTGATCTGACCTAAACTGATCTAATCCAATTAAAAACTTATCCAAACCAATATAAAATTGGGTTGGTTTGAATTATAAAATTTTAAAACCGATATAATTGATTTGGTTTGTAGTTTTACTTTCAAACCACCCAAACTGTCCGATTACAAAATAAAATTTGATTACAAGATAACTTAATTAAATAATATAATATTTTTTGTAGTATTTTAAAATTTCTTTTTCTTATTCTATAAGATAATAACTCCATTAATTTAATTAAAAAAATAAAAATAGAATATCTTCATATTCCCTAAGCTATTTTTCCATTTCAATCATGCACTTTAACCCTAATTCTAAATTTCTAATTCACCCGTAACTCTATCCTATCATAATTTGTTTGCGCCTTTACTCTTGAAATCCTAAATTTCTAATTTATTCCTAAAATAATATTATGATTCTCCTAACTAAATTTTAAAGAAATATCATTCTAAAAGTCTTAAAACTATATAATAAAACTAGTCTTGATATTTTACTATTCTTAGATATTTAGTTTAGAAATTTTAAATTTTGATTATGAATGCTTCTAATCAATTTTAGGGATATTCATGTTAAATTTTATTCACTTATAGTAGAATTTATAAGATGGGATTAAATTATTAGTGCATTAAAAGAAAAAAAAAACTAATTTTAATCTTTAAGAATTATTTATGCTATACTAGAAATTTGAAGTCATCTTTTGTTGTTTTTGGTGCCTCTAGTGATGTAACCAAGAAAAATTTTTGGATCTTTTCAATTTTTACAAATGTAAAGAAGTATAAGAACTTGTTTATAATTTATACATTTTATTATGTTTTTACTTATTTGAATATTAATGTGTTCTATAATTATGTTTTCTATTTGATGTTAAAATATTTTTATATTATCTTATATATTTAATAATGTTAAAAACTGATCAATCCGACTAAACCGCATCGATCCGATTTAAGTTGGATTGGTTTGGTTATCATATAATAGTGGATTGGATTGGTTTAAAAATTTTTATTAACTAATTAAATTGGATTGGTTTAAAAAATATTAAAATTTAAACCAAACTCCACCGCAAATACCCCTAGTACTTATTCACTCAATTAAATAATAAATCTAGTTTAAAAAAAGTGACTATACATTGTTCAATATTTAACAGGTTGTCTAAATCTTCCTCATGGAATACAAGATTTCCCTTAGGCTTCAACCAATCTTGAGTACAGATTAAAGCCTAAATTGTTCTTGGTGTTAAAAAGCTTCTAAAAGCATCAACCACATGACCGCTAGTGCTAAAACAAGACTCCGAGGCCACAGTTGATATTAGCACAACTAATACATCCTTAGCCATTGCACTAAGAACGAGAAACCTAGGTGAGTTTAGCTTCCACCAAGCTAAAATGTTTAGCCTTGGATTGTCCTCTTCAGTAGCTTCTGCCAAGTATTTATCTAATTCAGATTGTTCACTGGCAACCCCATTATCATTTTTATACTTCTTGTATTTCATCTTCATTCTCTCTTGCCATTTTTGTGAGGGATTCATTTCCACACTTGTTGAGACACTTGAACCAAAATTAATGACACTAGAAACTAAACTCTCTCCAAAAGAATTAACATTGGAAAGGGATTTGCTACTGCTATTGCTATTGCTAGTTCCCACTCCTTATGTCATTTTCTTATACTTCTCAAATAGCTTATAAGTCTCATCCTTCACTAGCTGCCCATATTTATTTCCTAGTCCAGTTTTACCATCTTTGTCATGTATTTCCTTCAACATAAACTGAACATACTCTAATTTGTATCTAGGGTCCAACACCATTCCAATAAATATGCTCTTATTCATTTCAACTGGGGTTTCCCAATATTTGTCAAACTTCTCCTTCATTTTCATTGCAAGCATGGCCAAATCTATATCACTAAACTCCCCCCATTCTTTTAACAATGCATCAAGTGAACAAATTTCTAGAAAATAAAGGTTTGAAGTTGCATACCAACTTCCTGACACCTTCAAGGTCATTTAGTAGAATTGCCCCAAAAAATCCACCAATTTTCTACAATTCTCCCAATCCTCATGAGTTGGAATAGCATGATCTAAAGCATCTTCCTAGTGAGCATCTCTTCTTGCAAAGCTAGGAGGTAAAATAAGAGAAAATAACATAAATTATCAAATTGATACTATTGGCAGCAAAGGGAATAACAGTTATATTAAAATAAAAATTGAAATAACATTAAAAATAAACTAAAAAATTGAAATATAACTACAAGTGACCTATCAAATGCAAGCTCGTACTTTTCAACAACTTCCAACATTGAATACAAAGAATTCCATCTAGTTGGAGTGTCTAGGGACAACATCTTTTCGCATTAAATCTTCTCAAACTTTGCACATTCAAAGAACAGTTTCTGCCTCATTGGACTTTGCCTTACATACCGTACTACACCCCTAATAGTAGTAACAGATGGTTGCATTTCTTTGAATCCATCATTAACAACGAAATTGATAATGTGGGCAGCACACCTCATGTGTAAATCTTTCCCTCCAAGAATACTAGTTCCCCACTTTTGTAAGCACCCCTTCAAATGTCTAACTAGTACATCATTCGCACTAGCATTGACTAAAGTAACACAATAGACCTTAGCTATCCCCCACTCTCTAAGCCATCTCTCAAGCATGTCACCTAAAGCATCACCTTTATGACTATCAACAGGAACAAAACTTTGAGTTTTTTTTTTTTTTTTTATTAGCATCAATCCAATGAGTAGTCACACACATATAAGAAACCCTTTGTAGTGATGTCCATGTATTAGTTGTTAGAGATACCCTTGGGTTTCCATTCTTAAAATATGTTTTCAAATCATCTTTCATTTCAAAGTAAATGCTTGAAATATCCCTTGTGATAGTCCTACGAGAAGGGATGTTAAATAATGCCCAAGCTACTTGACAGAACTTTATAAATCCAGAATGTTCAACAAAAGAAAATGGAAACTCATCAACAATAAGCATCTCAACCAAAGCTTTCTTAATAGCTTGTTCATCAAATTTTCGTGATGTTGTTGTCAATTGAGTTACTTCTTTACCATCTACATCATTAACCTTTAACACTTTTTGGAAGTTAAGTAAAGTCTGTTGAGTCTTAAGATTCACAAGATTCAATTTACAGCTATTATAATGGTTTTTCAATGGAGTAGTTCCATTGGTGCTAGACTTAGCAGCTAAATCATACCCACAAAAATGACACCTAGTCCTAGTCTTACCATTTTCATTGATAAATTCATCGAAAAATTGCCATACCCATGTCCTGCGCTTCATAGGTTTTCTTTGGACTGAAAGGGATGGTCCAGCACCGGTAGCACCAGCATCACTATTTGCTTTGTCTGATTTAGCATATGTGCTTCCATCGGTCATGTTCTTTGTTGCATTGTCTCTTACAGCTATTGTGCTTGAGTTTGTCTCCTTTGACTTCTCAATACTCTCACTATTCTCCATATCTGCAAAGAGTCATAACATAAGAATAAGCTATTGCTATTCAAACAAATCCCCTAAATCTACCAAACCCATAAAACCTGTGAAAAAATTACTATTCGAATAAATCCCTAAATCTACTAAACCCAAGAAATTGGAAAAAACAATGAAGTATAGAGTTAAAGACATAGAGTCGGCCACTTAGCTATTCCTATTGAAAAAATCCACTAAATCTACTAAAGTAACCAAACCACAAAACTAAAAACTGGGCATATTACTAGCCGAGAATAGAGAAACTGAGGAAGGGGACCAAAATCGAGAACTTCAAACTTCAAACTTCTCATAGTAGTAGCCGAGAATAAGAGGAACTAAGGAAGAAGATCAAAATTGAAGTTAAGAGGAAAGGAATCAAAGATCCTCTTTAACAACCTTGTGAACAAGTGGCACCTCTGGACTCTTGCTCTGGTGACACGCAACCAAGGGTTGAATAGCAGAGCAATAGGGTGACTTGGGTAAACTCGAGAGCCCATAACCAAGAATCACGCAACAATGCAAGCTATCAAAGCAGGA